CCCCCCGGTGGGATGAGGGAGAGAATTGGAAGAGTAGAAGTGAGAAAACTCGTGGGTTGAGATAAAAACATTTAATAATTGAAATAAAATAATAACAACAACAATAATCATAATATACAAAGCAAGTGATGCACGGTGCAATTGCTCACCACCCGCTGACCGATGCCCAGCCAGTCCCCGAGCAGCGGCCCCCCTGGCCAGCTTTCCCCAGTTTATGTACTGAGCATGACGTCCCATGGTATGGAATGTCCCTTTGGCCAGTTGGGGTCAGCTGTCCTGGCTGTGCCCCCTCCCAGCTCCTTGTGCACCCCCAGCCTTCTCAGTCAGTAGAGCATGGGAAGCTGGAAAGTCCTTGACTAGTGTAAGCACCGCTCAGCCACAACTAAAACATGGGTGTGTTATCAACATTATTCTCATACTAAATCTAAAACACAGCACTGTACCAGCTACTGGGAAGGAAATTAACTCTATCCCAACCGAAACCAGGACAACATCAAACCCGCTTGCAGATACTTGCCCAGGAAACTATGTTGCTCCTCTCCCTCTGGTTCCTAAGGAGCTGCTGCTCTGCACTGCTCCTATTTCAGTGCAGAGCTGGCTTCTCCCTGGGGAGATCAAGTAACTTGCCCAAGGTCAAGCAGCAGCTGGCGAGACCAAATCCACCCTTGGGGCCAGCCTCCTGGCTTGAGTCCCCACTAGTGATTTACACAAACGGCCCTCTCACCCCAACATCAGCAGCGAAGACCCCATCCAGAGGATTAAAATCTTAGGCTCAGACTTTCAAAGGCAACAAAGAAAAAGTTTGGTGCCCTGATCCTGCCAGGAGCTGCTTCCCTCAGCCTTTCAGCATCCTTAACTGGGTGGTCTTGTACTGCCAGACCCCGGGAGCAAGTCGTCAGAGGATGCACCCCGCGACTCCCTGGCTGCATCCAGTGCTGGAACCTGCTTCCAAAGGTGAGTCATGGCCCAGCACCTCCCCACAGGCTGTGTGACTTGTCACCAGAGGAGAGGCTGGCTCCCACACCTTCTTGGATGCCAACTGCCTCCTTGATGAGTACATAAGGTCTAATGGTCACGGGATGGGCAGGCAGGAACTGCTGTGATTTCATCACAGCCGTGACCTGATTCACTTGTCATCACATCATTTACTCTGTCTCTCTGTGGAGCAAGGATCACGAGCCTTGCCTGCCTGGTATGAGGATTAATTCCTACCAGCTAGTGCTTTGAAGATGAGAACAGCATACATTGCTAGTCACCACTGTTATTGCTGTTAGACCTGTGCTCTGCCCACCTGTGACCAGGCTCTGGCAATGCACAGGCAGGAGTCCGTGGTGAGAGGCATTTATGTCATCGGCATTTGTATGACACCCCTCTCCCAGGAGGATCCCAAAGGGATTCGCTGTCGGGTGCATCAAGGGACCAACATCCACCAAGTAGTCACTGGGAGGCACCCAGGCAGGGGCAGGAGGGTACCCTCCCATGCCTGGGGCCAAAGGGAGACCTGATCCAGGGTGGAGCTATTGAATTTTGGAAGGATAAGGCTCCACAGGACACCTGTGAGCATCCAGACAGGAGAAATAGAGAGTTCCAGTGGAAAAGCAGCTCCCCTAAAGCATCCCCGTAACATACACGCCAGCGAGCCAAGCTCATTCCCGGTGTTTGCTCTCGCTCAGTGAGTCGCTGCTTTCAGGGAACAGAGATGTAGGAAAATAAAGCTTGGGCCACACCATGACTCACCATTCCAGAAGTTAGGTATCCTTCATCATCACTGTGCAGCTTTGCCAGATGGCAAACGCTCCCGCAGCAGCGTGAGCCACAGCACACCGACTCAGCAGCCAGCATGCTCAGCTGGGGGTGACGGGGTCATGGAGGCTACCAGGCCTGTCCCTCTAAGGAAATATCCATCAGCTGGATCATTTTTCAGGAAAGAAGGGCACATTTGCTTCTGAGGTTTGAGAGCACAGGCTGCTGCAGCCAAACACGGGCTCCTTGCCTCTCCCTATCGGATGGTAGGAGCACATCTGGGATGGCCTGAGCCTGTGGCATGGGCAGCATCCTGTAAGACATGCCAAACGAGGGTTTGTTGCCCAGAGTTTGCTCTGAAAGAGGGTTCCTGGCTTTATCCCCATGCGGGAAATGCATCCTTTAATGCAGACATTGATGACACAATGACCACATCGATAATTCTCCCGAAGTCCACTTCCCTGTGGGAACCTGAGTGAGTCATGACCAAAAGTCAAGTGCCCATTGCCTGTCTGAAAACCAACGCTGTCGGATTTTGTTACATACTGCCCGGTGCAGCATGCTTCACCTGCCGCTTCG